GCGTCAATCATGACAAGGTTCCATCATGAATGTGAAGACTTCGAGACTCGTCATGCCTTTGACATGGACCATTTATTCGTTCCAGATTCACCGTTGTTTCACGAGTCTGCTAAAAAGGTTGCTATCTGCTAAAAAAGTTGCAATGAAAGAACAAAAATAAAAAAAATAAAATAAAATGAAAAAATCCAAGCGCGTTTTGTACGGTCATACCTCAAAAAGAAGAAGATTAAGTTCCAGTATGAAGCTACCAAGTCCGATTTGAACAAGGTGGCGGGGCTCGAGTCTCTCAAGTGCCGGGGGCAATTCATGTTATTATTATTTTATTTTGTTTTACTAGGGTGTTTCCCACAGACCATGTGTTTGGTTACGCTGCACAAGCAGCGCATTACTTTATCCCTTCCACTAATTGTTATCGGCCAATCAGCATACTCTCACCACCTCACATCCAATCAGCATACCCCACGTCACACTAACGTTACACAAACTTGTCTCATATATGCGAAAAAATGGTACTGGATCATAGCAACATCCTCCTGGATAATTAACAAAATAACGATTAAAACACAACAACCGACAACAACCGACAACAACCAACAACAACCAAAAACAACCAACAACAGGCAACAACAACCAACAACAACCGACAACAACCGACAACAACCGACAACAACCGACAACAACATCCAACAACAAACAACAACTGACAACAAACAACTACAACCAACAACAACAAACAACAACAACCAACAACCGACAACAACAAACAACAACAACCAACAACAACAAACAACAACCAACAACAGCCAACAACAACCAACAACAACCAACAACAACCGACAACAACCGACAACAACCGACAACAACCGACAACAACCGACAACAACATCCAACAACCAACAACAACTGACAACAACCAACTACAACCAGCAACAACAAACAACAACAACCAACAACCGATAACAACAAACAACAACAACCAACAACAGCCAACAACAACCAACAACAACGAACAACAACCAACAACAACGGACAACAACCGACAACAACCAACAACAACCAACACCAACCAACACTAACCAACAACAACACCCAACAACCGACAACAACACCCAACAACCGACAACAACACCCAACAACCGACAACAACCGACAACAACAACCAACAACAGCCAACAACACCTGACAACAACCGACAACAACCGACAACAACCGACAACAACCAACAACGCCCAACAACAACCAACAACAACCAACAATAACCAACAACAACCGACAACAACCGACAACAACATCCAACAGCCAACAACAACCGACAACAATCAACAATAACAACCAACAACCGACAGCAACAACCAATAACAACCAACAACCGACAGCAACAACCAATAACAACATCAACAACGACGACGATAACGACGACAACAACCGACAACAACATCAACAATGACGACGACGATAACGACGACAACCACAACAGTGTCCGGTAATGTGTGGTAGAGAATGGCAGTCAGCCAGTCTGTGTACAGTTGAACATGTATAATAATAATAATAATAAAACACATTTCGCGTAGTTGAGCACTAAATAAAGAAATTCAGTGTTTTTTCCCACTTCTGTCTTGTGAGTATCATCAGCAAGGTGTAGTAGCTGCTGATACTGATTTGTCCTCAAGTGTCGAGCTGCACAGTTTCTTCCAGTCTGTCTTGTCCTCTGCATGTTGCCGGCACCTGGAAAGGTCTTCCATGGTCTTCATGGGCACACCCAGCTTATTCAACTGAGCGACCAGACTTGTGGCTAGTGTCAACCTTGGCCGCCCACGAGGTGCTTTGTTGTCCCTGTCCAAATAGCCGCTCATGGCTACTTAGGGTGACGTGTCCGTGTCCATCTGTAACACATGACTGGTCATTCGTAGTCGCCCACATGCAACTGTGTCATGTATTACTACAAGAACTCAACCAAGTCCTCAGCAGTCATGGAGTAGCGGCAGGTTGGGCAAGTTGGGCTGGGGCAGAACTGATCCACTCCTTCATACAGTGGAAGTGAAATTCATGACCGCACTCCAACTTGGATAGAGGACGATCCAGGGTATCCTGACAAATCACACAAATGGGCTCATGACTTATTGCTGACGAGTCTACCTTAGTAGGCACTACATTGATGTACTGCAGCTCCATGGGGTGTATTGCCTGGTCTTGATGGTGGCTACCGTAATACACCCCGTTGACGTACCACTGATAGATACCCTCCTCCTCCCGAGAGATGAAAGCAGGTCCATCTTCCCTATGCCGAAGGTTGTATCGGTACCACTCCCGTACACGATTGTTACCTTCCCTGCGTATCACCGCTGGCGCATTCTCCCTGTGGAGCCTTCCGTGGTGATACCACCGTAGAATACAGCATGTGGCGTCACAATAACTGACTGCAGGACCGCCGGCTCTATGACGGATACCGTTGAGGTAGTACTCGATGCTACCCCGTCCTATCCAAGCAGGTTCATTAACGCGATGAAGGCGACCTCCATAGCACCAGGCGGACACTCCCCTACTATCAACAAGAGCTGGTCCGTCCTCCCGATGGAGTCTACCATCGACGTGCCAAATTTCTTGCTGCGCGTTTTGATCTGCCAACTCCACAACAGTTCTTATTGGCGTCCGCCTTTCTATTAGTAAAGGATCCGTGGTGAGAGACCACGACCGGTCGTCCAAGTCTACACCGAATGTATCAGCCATATCTATTTACTGAGAATAATGTAACAACTCCTCCACAAACGCTTCTACAACTGACGTCTTCTTCATCCTGGTTTTTTCCTCCTGGTGGTTTTGGATAAGAGTTGAAAAGTCCAAAAGGTCAACTGATGACCTTTGCGTTACTTGGTATGATTGGGTTTTAGCGGATGATGTCGGTATGCAGCTGGGGAGCGAATTCGACAGGAAGAAGGTAAAGGTCTTGCTTTGCGGTTCACACCTTCACTTCAGTATCATTATCCTGAAAACAGTCTGTAGAAATGACGTTCACGTGTCACTGCGGTGTTCGCCTTACAGGGGTAATACCCCTGTTTCAGCACCTGAGGCGGTGCGTCAAGCGCCGCCTCTTTCTTATCATATATTGTGATACTTGGTAAGTGTGCAGTGCTCCTAGCTCTCTCCCCCAACAAAAGAGCTCTATGACACTGTGCTTTCTGCGGTTTCTTTCGTGTTTACAGTGGAGAAAGGCTGGTGGGAGGCCCAGCCGTGGTCGCCCACCTGGCGGGTGCGGCCCATCTAACCCGTTACTGGGAGGGTCGGCAAGTCGGCCTGCTGTTGCAGTCCGACTACCAGGACGCCGTAGAGCGTATTAGGACCCTGTAAGTAAGCACTGCTCTGTTTACATGTATACTTACCCCCTCGTTATAGCGATACTTACTTTTTTCGTATCCTCTTGTCTTACCCTGCTTTCGTATTCGTGACACTAATAGTGTTTGTAAGTACTTGTAACAGGCGTAGTGTAGTAACTGTGTGTGCAGTGTAGTAACAGTGTGTAGTGTTTTGTGATGGTCCTGTGCTATAGCAGTCGTAATGTGTTTTGTGATGGTCCTGTGCTATAGCGGTCGTAATGTGTTGGGCTACTGAAGTACACTGCATGAAGGGATATGTGTGGGTGCTTCGACATATTCTCGTGCTTCCTAAACCCTAGATACGTGTATAGCACTATAACCTAGATGTGTGTGCGCGCGCGCGTGTGTGTGTGTGTGTGTGTGTCCGCGCATGCGTGCGTGTGCGTGCATTGTGTTCTCTTCTACAGACTCATCCAAGTCCATTTAAATAAAAGTGTATTATAGTGAACAGTATTGTGTTTTGTTACAGTGAATATGTGGGGAATGGTGGATATGCCTTAGTGTGACTGGATACCCGCGGGTTGTGACTCTTTGCTGGTCACTCTGGATTCTCCAGTATAGATTCGATGCAGTGCAGAGGGGATTTGTGGTGCGTAGCAACGCTGCTTCACTGTGACACCCCTTCAATAATTGTTTTGATGCATGATACTCCGGGCGTAGCCGGTTGATTCTAACTGTATCCCGATCAAAATAGAAATATGCATCTAATGCACCTGCATGGACAGTAGGCATTTCCCAAATCGGCTGGCCGACAAATTCGCCGAAAAAAGTGGTTTTGAAGAAATCACCCATCTTTTCGCCGAATTTTCAAATTTCGCATGTTGAATTCGCCGAAAATCGATGTTTCAGTGCTTCAACAGAGTGTGCTTGTGTGTAAATGTACATGACGTAATGGGACTTCAAGTACTACGTTGAGCCGAATTCTGATCTTGGGGCTCATAATATGGCCGATTTTGAACATTCTCTTAACCGATCGAAAAACCGATTAGGCATGCTCTGTATGGGCAACTTGTCAATCAGTGCACATCTACGATGTGCGAATAAAACGAATGCACGGAACGTGAACTTGTTTGCTGCACATCTACGAAGTGCGAATCAGGAAGTAGTATAATGACACGTGTACTAGTCCACCTTGTGAAGTTGTGTTGCACTGCCTTCTTTTCCACACGCAGGGGCACTGAAGGTCGCACGCTCCGTGTGCGTATGCGCGCATGTGCAATAATTATGTCATTCACTGCATGCAATGCACATCTACGACGACGATGTGCGAATCAGGGTGGAGTACGTATTTTACTACTCATTGGTGCGAACTCAATGAACGCACCGAACGTGCACAGTGCACGTTCGCCACGGAAAAGAACCTTTATGGCACGTTTATGGCATGACAGGGTCAAAGGGCAAACCCTGGGGGAGTCCCGGGGCCAGACCAAGCGCCCCCGACACAGTGTGCCTTATTTAACCCAAAGGTCAAAGGTCAAACCCTGGAGGAGTCCCCGAGCCAGACCAAGCACGACCGATGCAGTGTGCCTTATTTGGCCCAAAGGTCAAAGGTCAAAAAGTGGGCCAGAACCTGCCCCGCACTTACTACTCATTCTTCCATGCTGTGGACTTGCACAAAGCCAAGTTTGCTCATGCGATGGGATGTTGCTGATGGGTGTACTGAGCTAGCTTGTTGCGAATACTCAAGTCAGCCTGATCAAACTCCGCATTGGGCTGATCGTTCGGCCCAGGATGGTACTTGTCGTATGTCGCATCGTCGATGAGCCATGTTGCTTCCACTGGACATCTCCAGCGCTCGCATACATTGTGAATGGCAGAGCAGACAATAGCTACACGACTGGCAAACTCTGAGTCATTCAAGTTATTGTGCACCAGGACCCTAAATCGCCCTTTCAGCCTCCCAAACGCCTGCTCTACCACTCGCCTGGTACGGATTAGTCGATAGTTGAATGTCCGCTGCCAGGAAAGCAGGGCCGCATTGTCATCATAGCACTTCATGAGCGTGGCAGACAAAGGAAACGCAGAATCGCCAACAAGATACGGACGAATGTACGAGCCTTGGATCGTGAACTTTTCAGTTCCAGTCTCCTTGATCGTAAGCCACTTCCGCTCACCAATCTTGCGTGCCAGCCGAGATGAAGCGTAAACACTAGCGTCACCGGCCGACCCAGCATGCTCAGCATTCACATTCAGGAACAAGCCGCATGCATCAACTGTGCCTAGGATGATGATGGCAGAGTACTTCTTATAACACCAGAAGCAGTCGGGGAATTGCACCTGCAGCTTTTTGATTTTCATAAAAGTTCCGTCCACAGCTCCTCTGCATCTCTCAAGCTTTGCTAAATCTTTAAATTTTTGCATGGTTTTCTTCAGCTCTTTCCCTTCTGGGAAGCGGATTGACCGTGCTGCCATGTCTTTAAACAAGATATCTACGGTTGAATGAACCCTTTTTTTTTTTTTTTTTTTTTTTTACCCTGTGGACGGCGGTGGACTTGCTGATTGCGTACTGTCTCGCCAGTTCCCGGAAGGTAGGCCCATGAGCCAGCCAGTGCAACGTGATGGCCAGTCGCTTGTGGCTAGGAATAGACGCTCTCCATTTTGTGTCCTTTCTTGCCAGCAATCGTCCGAACTCCTCGTGAAATCGCCAAAATTCATCCTTGCCCATGCGCAAATGATCAATATACTTCGCGTTTTCGAAATCCGGAACACGATACTGCATAGTCATGAGCGGGTAGTTACGGAGGAAATCAGTCTCCGAGACTCCTTGACCCCTCAGCGCGGACCAGAAGCGACGGCGTTTCTTTCTTCCCAGAAGTGCGTCTGCATACGTACGAACTCCGAGGATGGCAACTATGGGTATCCATGCTGGAATCGATGATGGAATATGCAGTGAACCACTACCTCGCTGGACGGTCGTAGTGGAAGTGCCCATGTCGCACACGTCCATCAGGCTGTTTGACAGGACATTCAGTGCCATAAAGGCAGTAACAATTTTAACCTGTCTTCAGCGTTCACGATCCATGATTACTTCTACACAAACTTCGCTTCTTTGAACTATTCAACGGTGAAACTAGTTCACTCCGGGCTATCCAAGTGTCAACTCAAAGTTCTTTTCAAGATTGGTGAACACTAGATAACTGAAGACAATCGGGAACAAGTGTTGGTTTATATAGGCTCGAGAGAATAATAGAAGAGCATGCAAGGCAGTGTTTTGTTCTCTTGGTTATCTGACGTTTGTTGTTTGGCAGGAGTGTTTGGATGCAAAAATAACAAAAGGAAGGATGAGTAAAGGCTACATGGTGACCTTGGAGTTGTGTGTGAGAGATATCTAACATCAAAAGGTCATGGTAATGATGTGTATTGAACTAAACTACCTGCCTCACCTAGGCTTCCCAAACAAACTTGGCTACTTGTAGGTTGATGTGTGGTGTTTGCCTATTGTCGATAGGCAAACACCGTACAGTACACATCACCCCCTCCTAGTTTGCGTTGGGAAACCGTGACCTACATGCAGGTGTGGGTAGGCAAATACTACACATCTTCCTAGTTTGTTTTCGGAAACACCTAGGTGACGATAGGTACTAGTAACAGTAAGAAGTATGTGAATGCATTGTATTTTACCCCTAGAAGACGCTCGTGATAGTAGGTGCATGCAAGTAAGTCAAAATAGGGTTTGTGACGCATCAAGGTGTGATAGCATGATGTGTGCGTGCAAACAAATGTCATCATTGTCGTCAAAAAATAATACGTGAGCAGCAGAGATTAGGGGTGAAATAATCATGCGGATACTTAGGTTATGGTCGCACTCGATACTTCCAAGCCGTGCTTATCAAGTGCTGGGAAATCTTTTCAGGCAGTGCAAATGCTGGAAAACAGGCACTCCAAGCCACTCGCAACCATAATCATGATATCTACGATGGAGAATCGGCAATTGAGATTCCAAGTGGTCTGGTATCTGTGGCCTCATTATTCTGATGTGCTTCATTGTATTACTTCTCACAAAAGAGAGGGAGGTCGCAGCCATTCAGGTGAAGATATTCGCTATAACCAACAACTCGGTCGAACAAATAATAATAATAATAGGTAACAGATAGCTGATCTTCAGTGATCGTTTCACCCCGAGTAGAGAGGCTAGCGCAGATATCTGGCTACAAAAATCAAATGATGCTGCAAATTTGCATGATTTTATTCTTCACAGGTATCCCGTGGCGAAGCGGGCGACGAACCACGGCTTTGGCGAGTCTTGAGAGGATCACTGCATGTGTGACCGCTGCATCATCCGTTCCGCAAAAGCGGCAGCGGAACTTACACTTTTCGCCTCCGCAAAAGCGGTGGACACTTCTCATGTGTGACCGCGGTCTAACACCTGGTTAACCCTAACGCGTGTAGTGTGAACTTATGCAGTGGATCTGAGAATGTGGTTTTGTGTTATTTATTGCGCACGTTTCTTTAAGCAGTTGCAGGTTTTGGAAGCTGTTTATATTTTTACACGTGATCCTGTGCTATTATTAGTATTATTATCATTATTATTCATGAAGTTGATTGTTCCAACTAGAAACACACGCTTCTTCATGACTATGACCGCCGAAGTCGCAACTTCTAAGTTGTTATTATTATTATTATTATTATTATTTAGGAATGGGTTTGCTCCCACACTGGAGCTCGCGCTATTCCGCCGACGACTTGACACTTGACTGACTCACGACTGCCATCCAGAGAACACGAGAAGTCCATCGAACTTTCGACTCGGCAAACCTGCAAGAAAGCACCACTCCCTGCTCAATACACAGTGTTTCGGGGAATTCACCCCTCATCAGTTGAGCTTGAGTAGGCTGAGGAAGATTGTGCCTGAAGAGCACCACTTATATAGTGCTGTCCAGGCACAAACATCACCAGGGATACAAACTTACAGAGACACTCCGTTTCCAGCGCGACAAACAACTCGTGAACACCAGATAGCAGCGTGAGTCAGTTATCGCTCCTGGACGGTGAAAACAGACGAAGAGGACCCTCGGTCATTCACAACGCTGTCACCTCCAAACCACCTAGTCGCACGCCCGCGCTGGGCACAACAGTACGAAATAGAGGTTGCGACTTCGGCGATGATTTTGTTTAGGAATGGGTTTGCTCCCACACTGGAGCTCGCGCTATTCCGCCGACGACTTGACACTTGACTGACTCACGACTACCATCCAGAGAACACGAGAAGTCCATCGAACTTTCGACTCGGCAAACCTGCAAGAAAGCACCACTCCCTGCTCAATACACAGTGTTTCGAGGGTCCTCTTCGTCTGTTTTCACCGTCCAGGAGCGATAACTGACTCACGCTGCTATCTGGTGTTCACGAGTTGTTTGTCGCGCTGGAAACGGAGTGTCTCTGTAAGTTTGTATCCCTGGTGATGTTTGTGCCTGGACAGCACTATATAAGTGGTGCTCTTCAGGCACAATCTTCCTCAGCCTACTCAAGCTCAACTGATGAGGGGTGAATTCCCCGAAACACTGTGTATTGAGCAGGGAGTGGTGCTATCTTGCAGGTTTGCCGAGTCGAAAGTTCGATGGACTTCTCGTGTTCTCTGGATGGCAGTCGTGAGTCAGTCAAGTGTCAAGTCGTCGGCGGAATAGCGCGAGCTCCAGTGTGGGAGCAAACCCATTCCTAAACAAAAATCATCGCCGAAGTCGCAACCTCTATTTCGTATTATTATTATTATTATTATTATTATTTGAAACTCGGGTATTGAGCCAATAATAAAAGTAGAAAGGAAAAGGACATATGGAAACGAGTTAAGAGTAACTCTCAACCACTGTAACTAGATACTATATACAGTCAGAAAGTGCAACAACTACGCACAAAAACCGACGAAGTACTGAGACATTCGACGACCTGACACCTAGCTTCAAAACATCAAAGTAGCGCTAACCGACAGCCTTCCAAATTGGAAGGTTCAAGGTTATGGAAAGACCAAAGAGGTCCACGGAACAAAGAATGTCGATTGTCACTGGACCTACTGGTCTCGTCATCCGGTCCAGTGACAATCGACAGTCTTTGTTCCGTTGGGACTGTAGCTTGTGCTCGTTTTCGTTGCGCTTGCCTTCCCCTCGTTGGTCTTTCCATAACCTTGAACCTTCCAAGTTGGAAGGCTGTTGGTTAGCGCTACGGAGATGTGTTGAAGCTAGGCGTCAAGACGTCGAATGTCTCAGTACTCTGTCCGTTTTGTGCCTAGTTGTTGCACTTTCTGACTGTATATAGTATCTAGTTACAGTGGTGGAGAGTTACTCTTAACTCGTTTCCATTATGTCTTTTTCCTCTCTACTATTATTATTTGAAACTCGGATGTTGAGCCATAAATAAATGTAGAAGAGAAAAGGACATATGGATACAATTTGTGCCTAGTTATCGCACTTTCTGACTGTATATAGTATCATGTTACAGTGATGGAGAGTTACTCTTAACTCATATCCATATATCCTTTTCTCTTCTACTATTATTATTATGAGTCTTTATTCCACTCCAAATTGAAAATAAAAATAAAAATTGGGGGTACAGTATTACACTAACTCACCGGACTTATCATAGCCAAAGGTAAGGAGCACGGAATAATTATATAGAAAAAAGTAAGGTAGAGAGAGAGAGGAAGGGAGAAAGGCGCATGTACCATCACATGCATTAACGCTCAGAGGTATATTATTATTATTATTACAATGTATTACTACGATCACCAGGCAACTTTATTATTATTTTAGCTATATAACCGGTTGTTGTAGTGATTCTTACTATGTGACGATGTTCCACTGATGATAGCCACGAGAAAACGTTATGGAATTGTTTCATTTTACATAGTTTCGAGTGCACAAGTGATATTTTTCATTGCTTAATTTCAATACGTATCTAATATTGACTGAGTACGAGGTCAATATAGGAAATAAAAGCCGAGTAAAAGACCTTGGCGAAGCCGAGGTCTTTTACGATGATTTATTTCCTATACTGACCAAGTACGAAGTCAATATTAGATTTATCACGACAAACAGTCCGTATTTCAAATTCCAAAACGATAACCTCATGAATCCCGGTTTTATGATTGCACAACCGTTGCACCACCACCTAGTCATGCAGTGACAATGCTGCACTAGGCACCGTTCAACTGCGCAACCCCTAAGGAGTCAAATATAAGCAGTCAATATAGCCCTAAGGAGTGAAATATGCAGGAATATTTTACTGCTTAGGTATAGCGAAAATCAATGGGAGTCAATACTAAGGGAGTGATAAACCGCTAATAACCGGCAAAAATATTGCGCAGCTACGACTTGGACTTGGTTTTCCAGCGAATTATCTAGTTTCCAAAGCCAATCTTGACATAGCAGAGCAGTTTATAGAACATAGCTATGTATTTTCCGCGAGTGTTTGGTGACAAAAA